TTATTGCCCTTATTGCCCTTTTGTTGGTTTTGATTGCTTCTGTTGTCCTCATTTGTGAGTCGTTTTAGATTGCTAAATCATCCTATTTAAATAACCTAAAATAAACCTTTTACAGCATATATTTTAAAAATAGGCTATATCAAAACACCAACATATGAGCATGTCCAAACGAAAATAAATCGTGAAAAATAAAATGGAAAAACCACTGATATATTTCATACTTATTTAAAGTTTGAATATTTACCGCCAATTGGACTGTCCTCAGGAGAGAATTGTCCCGTCCGCTCCGCCCTTTGTACTGGTGCGCGCTCAATTTTATATTTCACGCAGTGATTGACAGGACTCGAAATTCGTGTTGCTGCTAATAGAAGGTGTTGACCGTTTAACCGGTGTGAAGCCGCAACACCGGTTATGTCGCTTGCCCACCGTCGTTTTGATTTTTTATAGTAATAAAAATCATTTAGTTTACTCAAATTAAAACTGAACGCGGCTGCTCAATGCAGCGTGCCGAATGACAGTCGCATCACAGATCAGATTTCATTTATCATGTGAGGAGAAGGTTATAGCAAAAATTACAAAAATGTGGTTTGGAGGATATGACAAAAGCATCCTAATTTGATAGTTTTAAAACTGTGTTTGAAAAATATATAGTTAACTAAAACTAAAACCATAAAAAAAGAGTTTAATTTGAAGTACTAAAATAATAAAACTAAATGAACAAAAATTTATAAATAAAAAAATTTAAATGACAAAAACAAACAAAAATACCCCCAATAAAATTACTAAAATGATAAGTAAGATTGTTATTTAAATAAAATCTAATTTATAATATTAAAAAATATAACAATGTTATATAATATTATCAAATATTAATACTAGCATTCTCTATTTTTTTTTATTCTATCTTGTTTTCTTTTTATTCTTTTGAATTGTTTTATTTTTTTTTTTTTTAAAGACCCTCTAACACTAACGTTCCCTATTCTATCTACTTGTTTTTCTTTTTATTTATTATAAAAAAAAACTTGCTATGTGTAGCCTACTGCATTAGGCTAACCGAAACTTGTCACAGCACTTACATATTATTGCCCTTTTGTTGGTTTTGATTGCTTCTGTTGTCCTCATTTGTGAGTCGTTTTAGATAAAAGCGTCTGCTAAATCAGTGGTTCCCAAAGTGGGTGCCGTGACAACTGGCTAGGGGTGCCGCAGAATCTTAGCTTTTTTTCCTATTTAAATAACCTAAAATAAACCTTTTACAGCATATATTTTAAAAATAGGCTATATCAAAACACCAACATATGAGCATGTCCAAACGAAAATAAATCGTGAAAAATAAAATGGAAAAACCACTGATATATTTCATACTTATTTAAAGTTTGAATATTTACCGCCAATTGGACTGTCCTCAGGAGAGAATTGTCCCGTCCGCTCCGCCCTTTGTACTGGTGCGCGCTCAATTTTATATTTCACGCAGTGATTGACAGGACTCGAAATTCGTGTTGCTGCTAATAGAAGGTGTTGACCGTTTAACCGGTGTGAAGCCGCAACACCGGTTATGTCGCTTGCCCACCGTCGTTTTGATTTTTTATAGTAATAAAAATCATTTAGTTTACTCAAATTAAAACTGAACGCGGCTGCTCAATGCAGCGTGCCGAATGACAGTCGCATCACAGATCAGATTTCATTTATCATGTGAGGAGAAGCTGACAAAGAAGAGTGAAGTGAGACAGACAAGACGATGGCAGAAGAGTTTCAAAACGACTTGCAAAATTCGAATTGAATTCAAGCAACTGACGCCGAATTGCTGCTAATTTGAAAGTGAAAGTAAAATGCGCACGGCGCTTTTAAGTTATTTAAAAGCAAAGGAAAGTAAGGAAAAGAGGGAAAACTCAAACAAACTAAAAACAAACAACTGCTTGACGCGGAATTGGCGCTAATTTGAAAATGAAAGTAAAATGCGCAGGGCGCTTTTACAAGCTATTTAAAACGGAAGGAAAGCAAGGAAAAGAGGGAAAACTACCCCCCTCTTTTCCTCACCGTCACAACCCTAAATTATACCCATCTATCTCAGAATGCGCCGTCAATGTGCTGTTGCCGTTTTCAACCTCTTTCCATGCACAGATATTTTATTTAAATTTTTTTAAGTTATAAGGTCAGGTTTGAACAAATCAAATGAGAAACTAAAGAAAAAATTGAATTTGAGTTGTTTATTATTTTTTAAAGAGTTAAGTATCAATCTTTAAATGTGTTTTGTTCCAATGATTCCCACATACAGTAAATGGTTCAAATCAGTCTGTTGACATGTGTCATCCAGTTGTAAAAGACAGATGGTTAATTTGAATGGGTTGTTTCACCTCATATTATGTCTGATGTGATTCATTCATAATAAATTCATGCTGCTGTTTATGCTTCATTTGTTGTTTGCTCATCTGGATTTAATTTCATATACATGTACACATGTGCGTTTAGTTTAATTGGGTTGGGGTGCCGTGGAAAAAAAAAAGCACTACAAAGGGGTGCCATGCTTTCAAAAAGTTTGGGAACCACTGTGCTAAATGACTAAATGTAAACGTAACAAAAACTACAATAATATATCAATTATAATAAAATAACACTAGTTTGAAACTAATATACAAAACTAAATTTGTGTAACTGGACTTTTGACTTTACCGTTTCTGAGATTTAGCCCTTGTGACAACTTCCCTCTGTGACAACTAGCCCCATTCTCTCCTATCAAGTGTGTTGCTTATATCACCTAAACTCACCGTCAGGTTCATCCACACTCTCCACATCCCTCTTGGCCTTCTTTTTCCTACTCTTTGGAGCAGGAATCTCCTCTTTGAAGGACAACAGAAAAGAGCTTCATTATATAATCTAATGTTCACTGACCAATAAACGTCCATTTTTAACTTGAAACATAAAGGCAAACCAACCTAACAGACACATCATAAAATTTTAAACATTACCTACTCAAATACATAATAAGACTGGACCAAGAGATCTCAAATGTGAATAACATTTTAAAGAGAAACACTCACCTGCTGTCTCCTGACTGTATGTGTGTGTGTGTTAATGAAGGAAGAGGAAGGAAATAAAAGTATGTGAGTTTCCTGTATAAAAGTACAATTTAAACAACATGTGATCTGCCTAGTGATCTTACCTTGGCATAGATGGCAGTGCTCGTGGTCCCCGCTAAAATGTTAAAAGATAATATAAGGTTAGCAATAAACAGTTCCAATGAAACTTAAGCATCAGATGCTGCACCTGTTGAGGGCTCTACATTTGTATATTGTGTCTAATAAAGCTTACTGTCTGCTTTTTCTCCATTCCACTCAAGAGTACAGGGGGAACACAAGGGACATGTACAAACAAACATCTCCGAGCACTTAAAGCAAGGATTAATGTGAGTCTAAATCTGAGACGGGCATCTGCCAAGCAGCAGGATTATGTAAGGGAGGAGCTACTCAGGAGTCACCATCAAATACTGTTACTCAACCTTATGACATAAGCACACACCATTTACATTTTTTTACTGCATTTTTTATCAAATAAATTCAGCTTTGTATTAGGGAATTCCCCCCCAAAAGGTTTATATTTATGCAAGGCTGCATTTATTTGATCAAATATATGTGTGTTTGAAAAAAAAAAAAAAAAAAAGCATTGTTCATTATTTGATAAAAAATACAGTGCTACTTAATATTTTTGTGAAAACCATGATGCAGGTTTTTTGTTTTTTAACGATTCTTTGATGAATAGAAAGTTTAAAAGAACAGCATTTATTTGAAATAGCAACATTTGTGTAACATTTTTATAATGTCTTTACTCACCTATGATCAACTTAAAGCATCACATTAATAAAATTTAAGTGAGAATTAAGCTTAAATGTCATGAAAATAATGTCAGAATACAACAACAAAACCTTAATAGCCCCAAAAATAGGCTTAATTTCCTTATGATTTAGGGGTCAAATATGATCTAGGCGTTTCTCAACCATTTCTGTGAGATTTACTTTTACCATACCAATAAATAAAGTAGATTTCTCTTCTCAGATTGATCTCACGTGTATCTAAATGTTAACCTCAGTACTGACTGGATACATTTTTGCATTTATTTGCATTAATATGGTATTGCTTCAATCCAGACTATGTTTTAAACATAATTTAAGAGGGTTAAACAGATTTCAATGGCTAAGCCCAGAAAGCCTAGTCCTCTACATTTACAAACTTACAGGGGGAGCAAAAGCCTCTGACTCTCCGAGCTTACCTTAACTGCAGGGCCAGGGGCTCTCAATCATTCTTGATCAAGGTTGGAGCTAAATTCTGCGGGAAAGTGGATCTCGAGGGCCAGAGTTGAGAACTTCTGCTTTACTGACTACTGTTGTGATTGTCAATGTGAAGCTTATATTCAGTAAAATCAAATAGAACGGGAAGACTGATGAGCAACAGCTCCAAAGTATAACATAAAGAAACACACAGGATATTTTATGAATATCCTAGACTTACCCTCTGTGCTTGAGGAATCGGAGGGAGATCTCTTCTCCTTGTGCTGGGAACCTACAATCATATAGTTTAATTCACGTCTGTCAGTAACTGCTTGTCAACAAACTAACTGTCCAGAGCACGAGACTTCTCTTTCAAGCACATAACAAACCTTTGCTTCCGTATCCATTGTTTGGAGCTGAATAATAAAAGCGTTGTCGTTTTAATTACTGAGGAAAAACCATTATCTTTGTATGTTCATGTCGTTTGTGGTCTCAGATTTTGTTTTGCACGTTGTCTATTGTTGATGCTGGAGACGAGTGGGCGTGGCTAACTTCCCGGACTTACTAGACGTACAATTCAAAACGTAATGATATGTATATAGGGGCAGATGCTGTTAATCACTGTCAAAAGGCTGCAACTACAATGTACACAAAAGATAGATAACACTTACGTTTTAAGATACTTGTATTCCTTCTAGTAATAGACTATATGACCTATTATATCTTATTCTTTTTATTTACCCTCCTGAGAACCATTAAAAAAGTTTTGTGATTTTTTTTTTGTCGTTACATTGTTTGGAGCATAAGAAACAAATGTAGAAAAAACATTTTTGAAAAAAATATATTTTATTCATATTTTATTCTATGTCCTTTGTAGAGGATGTCAGGACTAATTTATTAAAATAAATAAATACATAGACATGAAAAGGCATGTATAGGCAAAAATAATGATTTATTTTTTTCATTCACCAATCATCAGTTTTTAGGTTTCAGACTATTTTGAACCAAACTTTGTACAAAGATGATTCTCAACTATGTTATGAAAGATATAACATAATGATTTGATGTACTATTTTACTTTATGCAATGTGTGTGTAAAATATCCATAAATTGATATTGACATTTTATTCAATGTATCTATACAATGCATCTAATTTGCATATTAATGTGTTCTTGGGGCAAACCATAAAAGCAGAAGAAGTTGTAAAAGAATAAAAGAAGTGTTATAAAGGGAGATAAGAATATCTCATATTTCATAGGAATATTGATTTATAATTTCTTTCCCTATTGACTTGTTGTGTTTCTCCAAAATGCCTGATTAACATGTTTGTCCTGGTGTCTTCTACAGAAGACATGTATGAAAATGATGCCCTGTTTCATAACAAAAAGTCACATTCTGACTTGAAACCCCATAACATTTTTCTGAGATGTTTATTTACGACAAACAATTTGAAAATAATAATTACAAATATTATCATATTTCCCTAAGAGTGCTAAATTTGATCAGTCTGTCAATATCAGTCATTTTGAAAGAACAAAGAGAAGGTGTGTTTATGATCAAACCTTCAAACATTTGATATTCCTAAAAAACCCTGAATGTGCTCTGTACAGGACATCCGGACTTAAAACTGTGGCATGTATGGTCTCAGAGAAATTCACTAAAATATAATGTCCTCTGCAGAAGACAAAAGTCTCTGACTGGGTCCCAGAGGTTACAAAAAAGCATGAAAATGTCAAATATGCAAGTTTAAAAAAAACTGAAATGACTAAATCGTTCACTTAATGTAAGTGGTGTGACATGTGCGTAACATCAGGTGTGATGGGTTTCATTTTTCACTGTCCCATAAACGCATGTCAACTCAAGTGACGTTAGTTCTGTTCTTTTCATTAACCCCTCATCACTCCAAACCTGAAAATCCTCAAAATCAAATACAGTTTAAAGTGGATTAACAAATACCAAATCTCTTTTGGAGAGCTTAATAAATGTTTAGGATTTATTTGTTTTTTTCACTTGGGCGAACAAAATGTCCAAACAAAAGATTGACACCTGATAAAATGTGAACATAATTTGTATTCAGACTCTAACATTTTTAAAGACAAAACACACATTGTTCTCACCAAAAAAAGGTGAAAAAGAACGTTTATTTGCATATTCGTGCTCATCCGCTCTCCTATAGCATCCTTGAGCTCATATTAAGACTGGTCAGTTGGTCTGATCCATGCGGTCGGTACCCACTGCGGTTCATCCTGAGCTCTCCTCACAGCGGTCAGCAGCTGCACACATGCGGCCTGCAGGCCATCGTTTACTATCACATGATCAAAGAACTGACAGTAATGCTGTTCCATATTGCATCCTGCATCCTCTATCTCCTGAATATCTTCATCCTGACTCAAAAGAGAGAAAATATAGAGATGAATGGAAATAACGTACCTGTAAGACACAAATCATACCTTGAAAGGTGAAAAATAAATTGAGTGGACATAGGTAAAGATGCTAGCTCACCTTAAAAGGTCGGCTGGTGTAGCAATTTGTGATGATATGCGAGTTCATCCGTGTGCATTTCATCTGCTCAACAGTAGGAGGCTTTATAAAGATGACATAAGCCCTCAGCTCTGCAGTTCTCACTGACTCTAATGCCTGGAGGTCAAGAACATAGAAAGCAAAGTAAAGCATCAAAACAAGTCAGGCATAATCCAGATTAAGACAACCAGTTTTGCTTTATAGTAGCATAATAATAGCACACTTCTCTTCCAGGGTTATTAGAAACTTTATCGATGAAAAAATATTATAGATGAAAAACGTAAAAATAAGTTTAGGTTGAAACACTAAAATGACTAACTGTAAATAAAAATTGAAACCGAGATGAAAATAAATTAAACCAAAATAGAAATATTTAGATATGTAATGTAATAATAAGAAAATTATAAAAATGGCAAAAGAACACACACAAAAAAAAAAAAGTAACTAAAATTAAAATAAAAGCTAATTTAAAATATTAATAAAAACTATAATAGTATAGTTTACTATACTATTAATATTTAGGCTTAATTTATTTGTTAATATTTAGGTTTCATTATTTATATTTTTACTATTTAGGTTTATAATTTTTTTCCAGTTTTAGTTTTAGTTTTTATTTATTACTGGAAATAATTAAAAACTAAAACTAAAACTGAAAAAAATAAACCTAAATAGTAAAAATGTAAATAATGAAACCTAAATATTAACAAATAAATTAAGCCTAAATATTAATAGTATAATATTTTAGTGCTTCAGTTGCCATGGCAGGATTTCTAATTTCTGTTTAGTTGACATATTTCATCTAAATTTTTTTATTTTATTTTAGCTTTACACCAAGTAACGAAAATGTTTTGAATAGTTTTAGCTTTAGTCAACAATAATAACCCTAATAGTATATTAATAATACTAAAATAACACTGTTCTCCTCAACAGATCTGAACACGAGTTACTCGCCTAAGTTTAATACGTAAGTTAAGGTGTTGTCCACTTTCCTAATCTGAAATATTTAGAATAAAACTTAGCAAACACCACTAATAACAACAGATGAATATATTCCCAAGAGAAACTCACATATGGCTCAATGTCAATCACACAGATCTTTCCACTCGCCAAGACATCTTTAACCGCATCTACACTAGTGCCATAGAGATGACCTCTCAACTCCCCAAACTCAATAAACCTGAGGAAGAAAGAGAGGAAAAAGTCACTGACCTATCTAGGGTTAAAAATAACAACATTTAGTTGGATTATACACCCCCCCCCCAAAACATAGTAAATTAGGAAATATCTGTTTATGCACAGTTGAGTATATTTAGACCACCTGTGATTGCAGACCATGGTGTCAAACTGCTCTCGGCTGATAAAGTGATATTCTCTGCCAGATCCCTCATGGCATTTGGGTGGCCGTGTGGTA